CGCGCCGTGCGTTCTCCCGGGGAAGTTGTCCCTGGATCCCGGGACCCTGGCAGTGGCGGGCTGCACAGCCTCCCGGGAGGGGAGGTGTGGATAGTGACCTGTGCTCGCACACAGGCTTCTTGGTGGCGGCAGCAGCAGCCTTAGCGTCTCATGCCCGTCTCTGGGGTCCGCGCTGTTAGCCGCGGCTCGCGCCCATCTCTGGAGCTCCTTTAAGCGGCGCTCTTAATCCCCTCTCCTCGCACACCAGGAAACAAAGAGGGAAGAAAAAGGCTCTTGCCTCTTCGGCAGGTCCAGACTTTTTCCCCGGACTCCCTCCCAGCTAGCCGTGGTGCACTAACCGCTTCAGGCTGTGTTCACGCCGCCAGTCCTCTCCCTGCGCTCCGACCGAAGCCTGAGCCTCAGCTCCCAGCCCCGCCCACCCCGGCGGGTGAGCAGACAAGCCTCTCGGGCTGGTGAGTGCCGGTCGGCACCGATCCTCTGTGCGGGAATCTCTCCGCTTTGCCTTCCGCACCCCTGTTGCTGTGCTCTCCTCCGCGGCTCCGAAGCTTTCCCCCTCTGCCACCCGCAGTCTCCGCCCGCGAAGGGGCTTCTAGTGCGTGGAAGCCTTTCCTCCTTCACTGCTCCCTCCTGCTGGTGCAGGTCCCCTCCTTATTCTTTTGTCTGTTTTTTCTTTTGCCCTACCCAGGTCCATGGGGAGTTTCTTGCCTTTTGGGAGGTCTGAGGTCTTCTGCCAGCATTCAGTAGGTGTTCTGTAGGAGTTGTTCCACGTGTAGATGTATTTCTGATGTATCTGTGGGGAGGAAGGTGATCTCCGCGTCTTTCTCTTCTGCCATCTTCCCCCTCTCTAGCCTAGGGTTCTTTTTAAATCTCTATAAACTACTTATTTAAAAATGGTTTGTAAACCACTCATAGTTGCACCTAATCTGCTTGCTAGTCATTAAACACATATGACCCATTATCTCAAGCTAATTGAATAAATATTGTAGAACAACTCTGCATCAAGCACTCTTTGGTTTCGTGAATAGTAAATGAGCAAGATATGGCCACAACATCAAAGAATTCAGTTTAGTGGGAGGTCAATGACATAAATAAAAAATTACAACACAGCCTTGGTGAATAGTGGAGTGGAAGCATATAAATGGTACAGAAAAAGGCATAAAATACAGGGGGGGTTTTTGGAGGTTTCTTCAAAGGCCCACCTGCTTAAAATATGCAGATTCTTCCCCAAATCTGCCATGGTGAGTGCAATACTGACAGAGTTATTCATTTGGAATAATAAATTACTCCCAGAAATCCTACATACAATATTCTTATTACTTGGAAAAGCATGATTCCTTAATATTGATTATTAGCATGGATTCATTTGTACAGACAAAAAAAGTGGAACACAAGATATGTGTGTGTTTTGGTGAGAGGATAACTTAAACGTCATGGGACACAGTCCATCAAGGACTAGCTCAGAAGAGACATACATTCCAAAGAACCTAGAAAGTGGACCGGCGTGGTGAACACATGACCTAAGAGTAACTCAGGCTTGTCCTGACCAGACTTATTAAAAACAGGGTTATTACTCGCTGTTTCTTCTAAAATTAGGTCACTAATTAATCTATCAATAGGCATTTATTGGACACATTTCTCCAACTTTGTGTTTTTTTAATACAGTCTTTAGAGTCAAATCAAGACCATCCTTCTCTTTCCTAAGATTCATTTAGGACTTCCTCACAGCCTCTTGCCAGCAAAACAACATGCAAACGTAGGGAAAAAAAAAACATAAAGTTGAGGTTTCTGATGCTGATGTTTAAGTAAGTGGTAGCTGACCTTCCCATGCAAACTTGCATCATACTGCTGTTATACCACGTTTATGTCTTCTTGTTCTCTTTTAAGACAGGGCACCAATTCCATCTCTTGTTACAAGACAGCTGGTGCTAGCTACTCACCCCTAATCTTTCTTTAATCAACTCCATCCAGCTTTCCTTCCACCCCTGCCTTAAGCAAATGAGCAAAAAATGAAAGTTTCTAAGACTTTAAAAGACTAAAGTTCAAGCGAGGCCAAATAATAACTCAGCATTATTAACTATCAACAAAATTGGGGGCAACAATCGGGCTCTGGGTTTGTCTCCAATTCTCCAAGATCCTCACTACACAAAGGTTAATCAAAGAATGATTATCTTTCCCACACCATGCTCACATTGGGTAGGTGTATCTTTGAGTGGTAATTACAACTGAACTACTGCTACAATCTACAATGTTTTATTCTAATTGACAAAAAGAATGTAGGGAAATTCTTGAAAGAGAAGTTTATTAATAATGAAAATGGCACAGTTATATACATGAGAAAAAAGACCTTTCATATACATAAAGACTGTTAAATTTTTATTTCTAATTAGCTAGTATTAAGACTAGAGCATTTCAAACAAACAGTACAGTAACATGAGCTTATCTGACCCATACTTTATGTACAGTGTCATTATAAACAAGATGAAAAAGAAAAATCCTTCATTATCCATACTCCACATTGAACATATATTATGGTCACTTTAGAATCATCACACAGTCTGAATACATAAATAATTATACCTTTATTCTCTGATATCATGGTTACATTTTTCCTATTTATTCCCTTAATCACTAAAGAAGCAATTATATATGTGAAGAAAAAAAAGTCAGGATAAGGAATCATTTAAACCTGGCTGTAGCTACAAATTGTGTATTCTAACTTGTGTCTTATTACCCCGAGGGGAGTGATTTAACCTGTATCTTGTTAACTCATAGGGATAGTATAAGGTTTTACAAAATGCATAACTCAAGAAAATTTCTAGGTAGATTCGTTACTTCAATTACTTTCTAGTACCCTCCCACCTTCCCACCTCCAGCCAGGATCTTCTGTGGAACACAATGCAACTGATTTTAGGATTGGGACCTTCACACCATTTTTCTGCATTCATTGCACACTTGGGAATAGAATGAGCTAGGATGCATAACTCACTGCAGCTGGATTGTAAATCTGAAAGCCTGGCCCCACCCATCCTACTGGGAATTGTTACAAACATCTTAAGAGAAAAAAAAAAAGACCCATATTTTTCTTGGCTAAAATAGCTCAATTTAATAAAGATAAGTTATTCTCCTAAATCAGCAGTTTTCTTATGGAGTAAATATGTTACCTTCTTTTCCCATTTCAAAATGAAAATTCAACTCACGGGCTGATAGATGTCAAAGTATCCATTATTGAAAACATGGAAATGACACAAAGACACCAGCTGCCTAAAGCTCATGAAATGGAAGAAGGCAAACTTATAAAACAAGCATGCAAGTAAATAACTAAATCAGGTATCGTATTTGAGCCAACATGGTTTGAGAGCCTACAAAGAATATTTACGCAATTTACATCTTTTTGTCAGAAGTAATATTAAGTCAGCGTCGTTCAACTATATTAAAATTTACTATGTGGTAAAAGGCAGGGGGAGGGGAGCAGCCAAACCATAATGACCAGATACTGCAGAAAAAAAAAAAGAAGAGGTGGAAATAAAATCATGTAAAACCTGCACTTGTTTTATTATGTAAAGTAAATGGGACTTTAGGGCACATAAATGTGAACAAATACCCTTAAAACATATTTATTTATTTATTTATTTATTTTTGGCTTCATTGGGTCTTTGTTGCTGTGCATGGGCTTTCTCCAGTTGCGGCGAATGGGGGCTACTCTTCATTGCGGTGCGTGGGCTTCTCATTGCGGTGGCTTCTCTTCTTGAGGAGCATGGGCTCTAGGCGCACAGGCTTCAGTAGTTGTGGCACATGGGCTCAGTAGTTGTGGCTTGCGGGTTCTAGAGAGCAGGCTCAGTAGTTGTTGTGTACGGGCTTCATTACTCCGCAGCATGTGGGATCTTCCCGGACCAGGACTCGAATCCATGTCCCCTGCATTGACAGGTGGATTCTTAATCACTGTGCCACCAGGGAAGCCCCATACAGTTTTGATTCCCTTTAAGTACAGCTTTTGGTCTTTGTGGGTATAAAAACCATCACATCTCTTACTATATTCTAAAATTTTAAACTAGAAAAAAATATTTGTGTCCCAAATTTAATTTTTTTGATAGAAAACGCTTCTTCCAACGGAGTTCCAAACCCAAGTTAATTATATGACGTAGGTAATGAGTGATCTCCATCTTCTCTAGGCTTCTAATCAGTTGGAAAATAGGAGTTTTGGTTAAAGCTCTTCCCTGCCATGAAAAAAACAAAGAGCAATTAATTGGAAAAAATCCAGAATGTACTGAAATGCACTTTTGTTGTAATATATCATCAAGCTATAGTCCTAAAATCACCAATACCTTCTTTCTTTGCAGGAAAGCTGTCCTGTGCTTTGCTAAGTTAAAAAAAAAGAATCCAATCTACAGAGACTATGTAATACTTTTACTGAATCCTAAATCAAGTCCATTAATATTTTCTTGAGCTACTGGTAGATGAAAACTCCAGACTATGTGAAAACTGAAAATGTTGTATGGATTATGTACCTAACATTTTTTCAATGCCATCTTCCCACTGTGAACAACCCCCTTATAGTGTCTGTGTGAACATTCTTTTGTTTCACTGGATCTTCTTGTTTAAATCTTCTTTGTTACATGAATTTTTAAATAATTTTAATGCCAAACAGTTTACCAGAAGAAAGTGAAACATGTAGTCCATCTGTCTGTCCCTAATTAGGCTCTCCTGGATCCTTTCTTTGGATTTCTTAGCCTAGGTGAGATGCATTTGTAATTCATGGAACGCAGATGGCTCTGAGGGGCTTAGGAAAGATAAAAAACATCAGTCATGTTCTTTCTATTGGATACCACGGAAGTGGAGCCATAGGCCATCTGCTGGCTAGAGATGCAGAGATAAGCAGGTATCCTGGTCTAAAAGGCAGAGTCCCAGTAATATTGCTCTGATAGCATTCAAGCAAGGTTGGCAGCAACTCCCATGGGCTAAGTCAGATGTTTAAAGGAGTCTCTACCATGCAAATGGAATTAGAAAAGCGTCTTCTTTAGTTTCCTTTGATGTCAATTTGTCCCTTCCTATCAGAGGAACCATGCATGAGGGGCTGCCTATCAGAGAAAGGGGATTTGGAACACAGGGGCAGAGGCTCCAATCAGAACCACATGTGTTATCCTGACCCTTTATCAATTTCTGCTACAAGCAGGCATGAATTGCTCTGGTTTTTCTCTTCTAAAAACCTGGTGCCATCATCTGGCCTGGGTGAGACCCATCCATGAGGAAGCACCTTTGTGAGGGCAGCTGTAGGACCAAATATCAAAGCCAAATTATAATCCCACCCACTACACTCAAGTAACATCTATAAATGTTCTCTTTACAAGATTATTGTACTTTTGTAACCTAAGTCTGGTTATGGATCCTGAGGAACAAGGGGAAAAAAACTAGACACTTGCCCAAAATGCATGCTAAAAAAAGTAATGGAAAAAGGTAGCTTGAAAAGTAAAATGAACCTGCTGTATAGCACAGGGAACTCTACTTCACTTCGCTGTACAGTAGAAACTAACACAACATTGTAAAACTATAGCCCCCCCAAATTTTTTTTTAAAAAAAGAAAAGATGAACTTAATAAAAGCAAGAGACACACTTTAATGAGATTTGTCTCATTCAAAGCATACTTAAAAGTATCTACAGAGATGGAAAAGGAAGTATATGTTAAAATATGTGAGGATTTACGGCTACTCAAATGGGTGACATCTATATTAATAAGAAAATATGACAGAACCAGGGAGCTCTAGGCCAGAACAGAGTGTCTTTGTTTTCAATATTCTCCGGCATTTGCTGTCATCGTGATCTTGAGTAAGTCCCTCCATCTTTTTGAGGTTTCCTTTCCTCATTCATAAAACTTAAATAAGAAACATTCAACTTATAAAGGCATTAGGAGGAATAAATGAGGTAATCTGTGTGGATGTGTATTAACTGAAAAGAACTCAACAAACATTGGTTACCAACAAAACCCATGTCACAGGGACAGGAATTAAGTATTCATGCTTGTGGCACTAACTCTAAGGCAAACTTAACGCTTACATTTGATGTTCTCTCACAAAAGCTGCAAACTCAGGATCCCTGGCATACAGTTCCAAAATTCTCATTCTTTCTTGAATTTCCTTTAAAAAAAAAAAAAAGAAGAAGAAAGTTTTTCTACATTGCATTAGAAAAACTTTAACAGCTTTTTAAAAAAGAGGTTTAATTTTTATAAGAGATTGTGGCTTTCTGAACTATCCAGGGGAGAGCTATAGAAAACAATGGCCTTTTCAGAAAAATGGAAGGTGTGGCTACTACATGAACTGCTCTGAATAACCCAGACATATATTTCTAAGGAGGGGGGGTGGAGGGAGAGAGCATTTGCTATTAATGATAAAGGACCCACTGGGTGGGAAATAAGGACAGCGCAGAATTGTATACCCTCTACATATCACATCGACTCAGAGATAGCATGAGGTAAAAAACGAATCATGAAATAATTTTCAACCTTTCTTGCAACCTACTGTACACACATGAAAACACACACACACACACACACACACACACACACACACACACACACAGCAGGGCAGCAACAGAAAAAGTAAGTTTCCTACCTCTCTGGAAAGCTCACTGTTCTCATACATTTGTCTGATTTCTTCCCTGCTCAGACCAGCAATCATCTCTCTGCCTGTGGAGCTGTAGAAGGGCCGCTGAGGGTAGGGTCCTTCGTACTGCTCGAGATCAGCCCCGTGACTTTCAAACACGGGGTTGTGCTTTTCAGCTCTTTCCACAGACGAGAGGCTGTCAGGCTGCCTGCTGGAGCCACAGAAAGAAAAGTATGATTGAATCAGGTTCTTCGTTGGATGCTCAACTACTTGGAAGACTATTAACCTGGAGCAAGATTTCTGTTGAGGAAGAAAAAGAGGCTAACTGGATACAAATGGGGGACGAGGAGAGGTGACTGTGAAAAATATCCAGATCAATCTCAAAAATTATTTACCACGTGTTATCATTATTATCTCCCTAACTATCTGGTAAGTGCCTGTGGAACTGTTCCATGTCTCCTTCATCTTTATTTGCCCCACAGTGCCTGGCACCCAATAAATGCTGATGGGGAAATATGTCTGCCAATAGTATTTCATTAAATGAATACAGCTCCATTATTCCCAGGGTAGATAAATCAAAATCAGTGTGTAACCACACAAAGAATCTACTAGAAATAGAAACACAGGGGAGAATGGGCTTCAATTAAATTCAATTCGGGTCTACAAATATGTGCTGAGCATTGATTATATGCCTAGGAATATTCTAGATGCTGATGATACAAAGAATTGTTGGAATCTCTCCAGAATGAGACTGCGGTCTAATGCAAAGTCAGACCCAATAAAAAGTATAAGAACAATATGGAATTATGTCCTGGGTGCTCTAGGAACCTAGGAGAGGTGTCTCCTGGGCCTAAGCCAGAGGATGAGGGGAGGTAACCTAGACCCGAAGCAGACCTGGAAGCACAGAAGCAAAGTACAGCCCGGGATTGTGATGATATTACAACTCAAAAGGTCCTTGGATCGCTTAGTCTAGCAAGTAGAACCAGTTTTATTTCCTTTGTTAATGAAGCTATGCTCAACTAAAAAGAGAATCAGATTCCATTTCTTGTCAGATTCTTATCTAGATTTAAAGTCTGGCTAATTACCACTGGAATGAGCCAAAGGGGAAGGAACTAACAGATCTGGTCCTCACATAGGGCCTCCCCTCATCTCTATCACCCTTCCAACCCCTCCCCCACCGTGACCTTCAGTGTGCAGTGAGATTCATGCATGCCTCCCTGACTGTGCTAATGTTCATGCAACTAGCTAGAACGTTTCCCACCCACCCCCTGCAGCAAACATCTACTCTTTGGTCCAGCTAAATACCATAGCCATCATTAAAACTTCTAAGATGTCCTCCCCTAGGCAAAACAAATTCATTCTTCATCTAGACACCCTAGCAGCTTGTTCAAACTGCTGCTTATGTTTGTTTCCAATCTGACACACTTTGAGGACAGGGACCCTGTCTTTATTCAACTTTATAGCCCTCTCCCCTCCACGCTGATCCTTTCCAGTATTTGGCACACAGGAAGTACAAAATGAATGAATAAAAGGAATATTTTAGTCCATCAGAGAGCAACTGTCCTTACTTACCTGAAGGGTCTCTCTCTTTCTCTCCTAACATATTGAGCTTGAAGAGTCCTGATGAGGAAGAAGACGAAAGCAGAAGAAATGAGGACAAGTCCAACCATGGAGGCGATGGTGATGCCTATCACCAAGGGCTCGGACACAAACTCCTCACAGTGCTCACCTCGATACCACCAGTTCTCGCCCACCCGGCACCTGGAACGAGAAGTGACCAAGCCCCAAAATGGAATCACTCTGCTGAAAGTAACAAGTAACAGCAGAACCTACAGTGGGACTGAGAACAGGTAGAGAAATAAATGCTGACCACATGAAGCTTCAGTAAAGAGGTTAAATGGTAAGATTTAAGGCTATGCATGAGACCTGGCACAGACCCAGGAGGTCCTCAATGACTACTTGTAAAGACTGAATAAAAGACTGACTAGACTTAAAGAAAGTCAACTTCCTTATTTATGGATAATGAAAAACAGGCCCGGGAAGGAAAACGACTGGTGTTGGATCACACAATTAGTCAGCAACAGAGCTGGTCTAGAACCCAGGTCCCTAGACTCCTCACGTCCTTCCATCACACTGCAGAGATCCTCCAAACCACAAGGCCACCCACTTGTGCAAAAATATCTTCAATTCCCAGAGCAGCAATCACTGCTTTTCAAAATCATATTCATTTCTCTGGAAATCAAGAGACTATTTTTCCTCTTAGTTTTCTAGCTAAACTTTACACATAGAAAAGTGTGAGTCATTTCCAACTATTTCTTCTGTTTTTGGCATCTATGCCAACATTTGCCCTTTTTGAAATTCACAAATTGTCCTCTTATTGATGTTTCCCTGGCTTATTCTCAGCATTCTCTCCTTTCACACCATGTGACTTTGGTTGGATGTGGCTGGGAGGTTGATTTGCTCTGCTCTTTTTAAGGGGAGTGACCAGGGAAGGCTACCTGAATCTGCTCATTTGCCTGCTGCATTTTCTTTGGTTCTACCTTTAAAAAATAGATCTTAGATACTTAAAATATATTTGTCACAATTTTAAATACTTGCTTTTCTTTATTTTTGAATACTCAGTAGGACCAAGAGCAGCCCAAAGCTGTTGAGAACATAATTCAAATAGAACAATAAAACTCCTCTGTTTCAGATACAGTGTAAAGTGTCGATCATATGCCTAAACCTAATTTGATCACCAATTGCCTTGTTATTACCACTAAGAACCATAACACAAAAATCCCCAACTACTCTAAGTACTCTCCAAGACACTAGGCAATGTTTTTCTTACAGCTCCCTAAGAGCATGAGATAAAATAACCCACTGAACTGGGTATAACTCAGGCCTATGAACTGACTCAGTCCTCACAGGAGGACTCGATGGCACCCATCTATTTCCCAGATATAACTTCTATAATAAATATTGCTGTGATCATCCTAACATCATAGGCGCAGATCCCTTTTCTTCAGAGGAAATATCTCTAATCTTGTGAAGCCAAAATCTCTAACTATAGCATACCTACAAATGGCCCCATGCCCAGGCATGATGTCACACTTTCCATCATTCAAGCAGAAGTCGGGCTGTAGGTCACAGAGACTCTGACAGGGCAGTTCTTCCACACTCAGGTACCCAGGGTAGCATCTGCACTCTGCTTCTCCACTCCAGGGGTTGACCAAACACTCGGAAAATTCATTGCATGCTTGAAACTTGCAAGGGTTGGCTTGATCACCTAAAACATCACGCAAACCAGAAAACGATACAAGGAAAGGCAAAACACAGGAATTGGAGTACATGAAACCCCTCCACTACGGCTCCCCCATCCAAAGTACCGTGAAAATCCAATCCCCTTCCTGAATCACTGAAATACAACACCACCATCCACACCACAAAAAATTTCTGATTCATCCTTGATTGATGAGCTTTTGTCAAATTTCTCTGAAACTCAGAGCCAAACCATAAAACCCAATGACCTGGGTGAGCCTCTACCTGTTTTACGTAGGAAGCATGTAGAAGCTTTAAAATCCATGTAATTGTAGATCTAAATTAAACAGTTTTCATGTACCGTTCATTTCCACCAACCTTATCCTTCTGTCATCCTCCTCCACGCTGCACATGATGCTACATGCCCCACCCCCAGCCCACCCCACCAAGAACATGGATGGAGAGACAGTATCCAGAGAAGAGCTGGTGGAAGCCTCAGGGATGCATATAGCCCAATAAGAGCAGCCTAAGAACATTGGAGATTAGGGAAAGCTAATGTCAGAAAAACAGATCAGCCCTGCACCTCCTCAGGCCATTCCCAACAGTATTTTAGCTTCAGTAATTTCATTTTTCATTGATGGGATGAGAGAAAGTGACATTTTTTAAAATTAATTAGGACACACAAACCAGTCAAAAATGATAAAAGACATTGACCATGGATGGGCCTTCCATCCTACCATGGTTCCACTGTATGTTCTTCACTGGTCAGTGACAATCTCTGAATTGCAAATGGTGACAAAGATACCACAAATAGAGGAAATAACTGTAAATGACCCATAAACTCATCTGTATGAAAAAGCATAAGAATTAGCCAGAAGACAAAGGGGAGGTTAAAAAACAAAGAGCATAGTCTCTCAGTTTCCAGATAAATTAATATTGCTCTCAGAGTCAATGATTTCCTTGCTACTGTGAAAATTAAAGACATTTTGCACGAATCTGTGGCCTTGGAGTTTGTAGGATCTCTGCGGCTGATCTTTCTTAGCCCTATGTAGGAATGGGGAGAGATACTGGGTTGAATAGTATCCTCCCAAAATTCATGTCCACCCAGAACCTCAGAATATGACTTTATTCGGATATAGGGTCTTTGTAAATGTAATCAAGTTAAGATGAGGTCATACGGGATTAGGTTACTGCTAGTCCAACACCTGGTGTCCTTATAAGAAGAGGGAAATTTGGACACAGAGACACAGACACACAGTGAAGAAGGCCATATAAAGACAGAAGCAGAGATTGGAGTGATGCATCTATAAGCCAAGCAAGGAGTGTCAGGGATTGCTGGTGAACACCAGAAGCTAGGAAGAGGCAAGATAGGATTCTTTCCTAGAGCTTTCAGCGGGAACACGGCTCTGCCAACACGGTGATTTGGATTTCTAGCCTCCAGAACTATGAGAGAATAAATTTCTGTTGTTAGAAGCCACCCAGTTTGTGGTCCTTTGTTACAGCAGCCCTAGGAAACTAATACAGGAGACCAATAATAAGATGCTCATATAACAAGAAGAGCACACGAATGTGCTGACAGATGGCAGTTTCTACAAGGGAACTACACAGCAGGATTCGACTGTGTATTTCCTAAGTCTTCACATCCTTACCCTGGTATTCATTCTGTGACTTTTCAATCAGAAAATAATCTACTCCTGGCCTAGCAGTGAGGTACAGAAGTGTATATAGGGGGTGGGAAGGATGATATTGCACAGTCCCCCTTTGTTGATGGAAATTCAAGAATTTCTGAGACACTACATGTTAAAACAAATTAAGCAAGAGACAAGTCAGTCTTATCTTTAGCCAACCTTCAGATAAAATAATAGTTTAATCTGAAGGCTTGTAACTAAAAATATACAAGAAATAGGAAAATTCTATTTAAAAATTCTAAAACTTTGTGACCATTCCATGGGTGTGGGTGAGTGTCTAGGGAAAGGAAAAACAGAATCCATGAGAGGAAAAGGATACATGTTGCTCCCTTTTGATCCCAGATCAAGGAGAGAGACCAAGACCAATATTTTAATCATGTGAGGAAAAGACTGGAGTTTTAAAGTTGATTTTTAGTCTTTTGTGCAGGTTAAAGGTGGAGGCCCAGAATAGATAGCTCTTTGTTTGGAAAAGTACTTTAATGACTTTATGGGAAAACAAAGGTAGACTTGGAGCTAATCTTGGGATGGGAGACAGGGATCTAAACTGTAGAATGAATTACACTCTGGTTTTCCAGGGACAGGCTAAGAGAAGGATTGATGGGTCCCGGAGAATGAGAGTAGAGGAAATGTGAAGAAGGTCTGGAAATATAGCCAGAGTGGCCAGAGTAACATGGTAGCTGACTTAGTCCTGGAGAAAAAATTGTCCATTAAAAGACACCCTTGAAAGGGTGGCTGAGAAATTTTTGGATATTTACACCTAACAGTAATCTCCTGTGCTACAATAAAAATTCCTCCATCACCCTCATATCATCAACAAATTATCTGATGGAGTCAACTGCCTTGTGTTAGAGGTACTTTGGGAAAGTAAAAACATGGGACCATGATCTGTGTTGGATTAACATAAAGAACAACCACAAGGGTCAAGACAAATGTGAGATTGGAAATTCAGCAGAAGGAAATCAGAGCTGGAGATGATTAAGAGACAGTTAAGTTCCCTGATAATTCCTAGAGATATTAGGGGTTGAGGACCATGGATGCAGGTGTTACACTGCACACGGGAGAGACTAATGCAAATTCATTTGAATATTAAGGAACAAGGTGACCCTATAAACCTGGATGATTTGGCATAGAGCTGACATGTGAGTTACATACAAAACTGAGGTAAATGCACTTATTTATGTACTTCCCTTTAAAAAGAAGTGGGTAGGGCTTCCCTGGTGGCGCAGTGGTTGAGAGTCCACCTGCCGATGCAGGGGACAGGGGTTCGTGCCTCGGTCTGGGAAGATCCCATGTGCCGCGGAGCGGCTGGGCCTGTGAGCCAGGGCCGCTGGGCCTGCACGTCCGGAGCCTACACTCCGCAACGGGAGAGGCCACAACAGTGAGAGGCCTGCGTACCACAAAAAAAAAAAAAAGAAGTGGGTAGACTTTTGCAAAAGTTTTATAATCATCACTGCTTGCATTTGTATGGCTAGTCAAATGTTTTTATACATGCTATTTGTTTAATCCTTAGAATAGTCCCATGAAATACACAGGCCAGGTAACATTATCCCCATTTGCTATATGAGGGAGTAAGGCTCAGAGATAAAACAGCTCATCTAGGATCACACAAATGATAAATGGCAGAGCAGAGGCAAGAAACCAGGCCTCCCAAATTATAATTAATTGCTTCCTCCACTACACCACATGGCAAAGAATGTGCAAATGTCCTTAAAGAACTCAAGTGGCAAAAGATTTGGCTATAGGGGGATTAGCTAAATCATTTTCCTCACTTTCAGTGAATAACGGTCCTTCAAGGATTTCAAAGGAAAGAATGTTTGCTTCTTTCCCGGTTAAAGAACAGGGCTGGCTTCCAAACCAGTCTGAGAGAGAAAAGCACTGGAGAAATACAAACCCAGACATTCCACCTTACTCCTACTCAAAACCACTGTCCTCCGGTATACAGAAGGTAAAAAAGAACAAAGGCTTGAGGATCCAGCAGTACCCTCTGCATCCAAGTCTTCCAAATAAAAACAATGGTTCATTTCACTCATTCACAGTATTTTTGAGTACATTCTACATGCAAGGCACTGTGCGAGGTTTTGGCTACCAAGTGGTTAATAAAGTCTCAGTCCTTGTGGATAGTTCAACTGGGCAAAATAGCTATTTAGCAAGTATGTGCATAAGTTACCATGATTACAATAGTTATAAACTCTACAGAGGGAAAAGACCCAACCTAGATTATGCGTGAATCAGTGAAAGTCCTGAGGAAGAGACATTTGAACTGAGGCATAAAGGGTAAGCAGAAGTCAGCCAAGAGGGGAAAGAGATTCAGGCAAAGAAGACAGTATGTGCAAAAGGCTTCAGGCTTCAAGTTAAGATAAGTTTTGGAAATCTAAGGAACCCAAAACGAGTTAGTTTGACTAGAACATAGTGAGGAAATAAGTTAGTTTCATTGGACGATACTGGGGAAGAAGATAGGGACCAGGCCTGTGGCTACTGAACCAGGCAGCCATTGAAAGTATTTCAAGCAGAAAAGTGAAATAATCTGATTATTTAGAAAGAGCACCCTGGCTACTGTCTGGAGAATGAATGGGAAGGTATGGGAGTGAGGGAAAAAGAGAGGTAGTGGAGAAACTGGTCCAAATGAGAGATGATGATGGCTTGGCCTAAAGTAGGGGAAGTGAAGACAGAGAAAAACATATAGATTTGATATATATTTAGAATTCAGAATCAATGTCAGTTTGTGAGTGACTGAAAGTTAGGGGTGATGGAAACTGAGATATCAGAATGACTTTCCGGGTTTCTGGCTTCAGTAGCTGAGTGGATACAGCTTCCATTTATCAAGATAATAAAGCTGAGAGAGGTAAATTTAGTTGGAAGGTATGCAGATATGGAAAACAAGGGCTCAGTCTTAGCCTAAGGGCTTAGTCTAAGCTTGATATACATAGTATATATCCAAGTTGAGATAATCAAGTACATAGTTACATATTGATTCTGGAGCTCAGAAGATAAGTCTGATCTGCATATAGAAATGTGGAGAGTTACTGACATTTATATTAGGCTTACAATAATGAAAATTAATAAAACAACGTAGGAAAATAACATAGAAGGCAAGAAAGGCCAAAGCTATAGGGCTTGGCAGCATAGAGATGTAATAAGAACAGATCCATGGATAAGTAAAATAGAGAGCCAGATACAGCAGGTAGAAAAGGAAATGGGAGGTAAACATGTAAAGACAAGTGTGGACAATCCTTTTGAAAAGAGAATGATACTGACATCCTTGGAAGAGATATTTTACTAATTATCAAAACGCGGAAAATTTGTCAGACATAGTACTCTTTTACCTATAAGTATTGAATTCATCTTGACTCAGTGTAGAAGAAAATACACAAGAATAATAACTAGGTTCCACTAAGAAACCACCATAGTATTTAATATCATTACCTGATTCCACATCGAGGGAGTATTTATCAATAGCCAAGTTCATGGTTTGGTAAGCAGTGGTGCAAAAGTCTTCCAGAATCACGTATACAGTATTGGTGACATTAGGAGGGACAGACTTGGCGAACTTCATTCGGCTGTTCACCACAATACTGCCATTTCTGAAGTTCAGGATTTCTAAATTCTGGAACCCAGTGAGATTTGACTGGAGATAGGGAACCAGCTACAATACACAAAAATTGGTCAGTTTATTGACAAAGTTTTGCATTTTGTTCAATACATACTGAAAACAAAGATGAACCCCTCCACTTTTCCAAATTGTATTCTATTTACGTTATTTAAACTGTTCATCAACAAAAGTAAGAATTGTGAATTATTTGCGAGTCATGAGGTTTCAGTGTTATTTAGGAACCCCATGGAACTCACAGACAGTTTTAGACATCAGAGAGTTTATTCTGTTTCACTAAAGGATCGTGACAGTGAAGGCATTACAGGTACCCACAAAGCACTGGTCTCACAATAAAATGTGAATATAAATCTTAAACTTGTATCAGTCCCAGAAATTATATAATACAATATCCAGTATCTAAGTTACAATATCCAAGAATACAATATCCAAGTGTGGCTCATACCATTTTGTGTTTTCCGTTTCTTGTAACCACCTGTCTCATTATTTTCCTATGAACCCTAGGCCATTACAGTATTTGTAGATGATAGGAAATGAAAATCCATAGCAGACCACACTTTCCTTGGCTCAGATCTTATGCTCCGGGGTGAAAGAGGGGTGGTTCATACACGATTATTCACTAATGCCTGTATTTCACTTCTTATGCTTACCAGTTCTAAGAATCTTTGCTCCAGGGCTTTATACTCCAAAGAGTTTTTATTAAACAGATCTTCTGAAAACATCATGTTAGTCACTCTGAGGCTGAAGAAAACCACCAAAGCTCCTGCGGCTTGGGTATGACTCAAGTCTTCACTTTTTGTTGGCTGAGCCACAATAGCCATCTCTGTGGAGTGAATACTTGTAGACATTTCCACATAACCACCAACCTTGCCATTTTCCTCTGGGATTAGCTCAGGATGATAGTAATCTGTGCCTATCTGGTCCAATTCTAATGAAATATCCTGTACGCCCATAATGACTTCATCTTCCAGCAGGGTGGAACTTGTGGTTGAAGGCAATTTGGTAGACTGTGTCATGGAAGATTTCAACCAGAGCTTGTCAGTACTCTGTGGTGTACTTGCCAATGTGTCTCTGGACAGTTTCTCTAGGGAAGAAGTTCTTACCCAAACTATATCTGATTCTGGCAATATGGTCCACAAAGGTTGCACATCTGGCTTCACTACTGAAATCTTGCTGTCAAACCATTCACGGTTGGATGACTCTGTAGTTTGTTCCATATCCTCCTTTAGAAAGGGTTCTTCTTGAATTGGTTTATCAGTAGAAGCAGAGGTTGCTGCAGATGTCAGTAGAGGAGGTGATTTGGTAATTGAATAATAGTCAATGTCAGGTACTGTGTGCTTGGATAGAACTGGAGATGCAGATTGAGTTGTGGTCTCTGCAAAGATGGACACAGTAGGTCCACCAAGGGTCTCATCCTCTGCAAAGTCTCTGGATCTATCAAAATGCCCATATTTTGAATGCTCAGTACTTTGATCTATGGAATCTATTCTGTCATCTATATCTAGTTTCTCATCTATATCCTCAGTTGGCAAAAGTAAATCCTCTGAATCCTCAGCTTCAAGCCATGACTTGGAAAATGGTTCAGTGCTCTTCTCTAATGAAGTCTTGCTCCATGGCCAAGTAATCAGACCTACCTTTTGCCCAGACCCTGAACCTAAACCACTCTCAAATATGAACTCTTTCTCCATAGATGTGTCTGGCATCCAAGTGCTCACTTCTAATTGGCCTTTGACTTTGGAGGCCAAAGAGTCCATGCCAAAAGGTGTAGTTACTTCTTTAGCAAGAATATCGAATGTGACAGAGGAGACCGGATATGGTGAGGATGTCAAAGACACCCCAGAGTCTTCCATGGATGGTATTATTTCTTTTGGCATAGGACGACTAAATGGGCTTGAAGGCAGTGGATCAACAGAAAGAAAATCTTCTGACCCTTTAACTTTAGTTAATCCTAAAAATAGAGTTTACCATTAATTAATCTACATAGATGCCAAAATATATTCCCATTCCTCCTAATAAAACCAGCTACCCATTTTTCCCCATTAGATTACAACAGACGGTTGCTGACTTTTACTTTGCCAAATCCAGCAAACAACAATAAGGTATGATTATGTTTTTGTGATATGGTACAGTCACTCATGATTATAACCCCGTTAACTGAGGATAACAAGACATCAGGTACTGAAAAAATTCATCTTCAAACATGTGATTTCTTTTACTCCCTGAAAATAAAGAACTGCTGGTAGCCATACTGACAACAAAGAGTGAATCTAGTAAAAACTTAGGAAGAAAATTCCCTAGGAAAATTCCCAAGGAATTTCCATCTCCTTGTTATGTTTATTTTATTTATTTTATTTTTGGCCATGCCATGCAGCTTGTGGGATCTCAGTTCCTCGACCAGGGATTGAACCTGGGCCACAGCAGTGAAAGTGCTGAGTCATAACCACTAGACCACCAGGGAACTCCCCCTTGTTATGTTTATTATCCATCAGCCTTCAGGTTCACCCAATGTTCAAAATCCTAGACTCATTACTTATATCTTTGTTCATCTTCCTCTTTCACATATACTCCATCCCTGAGTCACATCCCACAACAGCTAAATCAGCTACTTGACTTTCATTTCTTAATCTCTGCTGTAGCAGCCCTAGTTCAGGTTTTCCCCTTCTCAAGCCTGATGCAAGCTAAAAATCTCTACTGGCCCCCAATTAATCCTATTAAAAGATACTGGAATAATCTTCTTTGAGGCTGCTTGTTTACCACTCAAATATTCAAGTAAGTAGAGTAGTTCTTAAATAGTAATATAATTAAATTATAAATTCTTTAACAGGACCTTCAAAATATCTATTAGGTGATCCCATCCCAGCCCACAAGTTCATTTCTAATTATTTACCTATTTGGATGCTCCCTTCCAACCAATTAAAGCTGATTGTTCCCTTTCTCACACAACTTTCCCAAGACATTTCCTCCTAACGAATGCTGCCATGCTTTTCTCCTAACCCTAGTCTCTCGCTCTCTTCAAAACCTTTGTCATCTGATACAATAAAGAAGTACAAAAAGTCATAAGAATTCCTTACCATCTTCTAATGAGTGAGATCCAGAAGTCCTTTCTTCAGAAGCCACAGGCAAGCCAGTCTGAAGCACTGCTGGGGTGACAGAATGAAGAGTCAAGCTGCTAACCTCTAAAACCTCTGGGGAAGAACTGAGGCTCACCTTCGAGGGAAAGGCTAATTTGGGTGCAGACACTAAATCACCCAAAGGGCTTTCTGACCAGAGTTCCCTGCCAGTGGTTGAAGGAGGACCAGAGCTGAAATCAAGTGGTGAAACACTGCTCATGGTGAATTCATCTGCTGAGGGCCATTCAGCTTGAGGGGTATTATCCTGGAGGGGCAAAAAGAGGCTAAATCATATCATAGATAAAAGAAACACATAAAAATAATTTCAAATACCATCTATCTATCTACATTCCTGGATTTTCTAGGGACAAAAAGGCAATGTAATATTGGGGGAGGGAAGGGGAGTATGGGCTCTAGAATCAAACAGATCCATAATTAAATCCTAATTCAACCACTTACTAGTTGGAAAATCTAGAGAAAAATCATGTATCGCTTGAATCTCACCTGGAAAGTGGGAATAGATGAGATAATATATTTAAAAGATCCCAAACAAAGTGAGTTTGTGAGAGAAAATATTGTTTGCCTTGCTTTAGATGGTTCCTTTCCCTCTGTCTTATTAGCTTAAATACTTTAAATACATAGATGTTACTAATATCTGTAATTTGTTGTCAAAGACCTAAGCACATTGCCCACAGCAGAAAGAACAATCAGTAATTTTATTCATCATTCTGAAAAGTATTAAATTAAGGTCTTTTATTTTGATAAGAAATTGCAACACATCAAAATGTGGTCTCTTACCTTGAGCAAATAGGAACATCTGTGAATTGGTATCACACTTACAAAATAAAATTTTCTCTTTCCAGTGACTTTTTACTAATGTAGTACTAATCATATCTTAAAGTTTAGCTTCAGGAATAGAAAAGTAGACAGAAACACAACCATTGAACATACTAATTATTTAATCCTGTGAAGGTTAGTCCACGTAAAAAAGTTTAATGATGTTAATAGGTAAAACAGCCATAACACTGGATAGGAGTTTATATATTCCAATCTATGCTGAATAACAAAAAGTAAGAAGTGTCATATGCATAGAAGGAATTCACAAAATATTTCCTACATAAAAACTGAAAAAGGAAAATAGAAAAGATCAATCATTCTCTACTCTAAATAGCATTAAAATCACATGCAAGGACTTCCCTGGTGGGGCAGTGGTTAAGAACCCACCTGCCAATGTAGGGGACACAGGTTCGAGCCCTGGTCCAGGAAGATCCCACATGCCGCGGAGCAACTAAGCCCGTGGGCCACAACTACTGAGCCTGTGCTCTATAGCCCGTGAGCCACAACTACTGAGCCCACATGCTGCAACTACTGAAGCCCACGCGCCTAGAGCCTGTGCTCTGCAACAAGAGAAGCCACCGGGCTTCCCTGGTGGCGCAGTGGTTGAGAGCCCACCTGCCGATGCAGGGGACAGGGGTTCGTGCCCTGGTCCGGGAAGATCCCACATGCCGCGAAGCAGCTGGGCCCGTGAGCCAGGGCTGCTAAGCCTGCGCATCCGGAGCCTGTGCTCCGCAACGGGAGAGGCCACAACAGTGAGAGGCCCGCATACTGCAAAAAAAAAAAAAAAAAAAAAGCCACTACAAAGAGAGCCCACGCAACGAAAAGAAGAGGACCCCGCTCGCTGCAACTAGAGAAAGCCCGCGTACAAAAACGAAAAACCAAACCCAACAAAAAAAAAAAAAAGTAAATAAATTTTTTTAAAAAATCACATGTAAGCTTTTTAAAGACACCAATGCCCACACCCCACACCTCAGAGATTCTAACTTAACTGGTCTGAGGGCAGGACCTAGACATGGTACTTTTAAAAGCTCCTCAGTAGAGGATGCAGCTTGATCATGTGTTGGTTGTATTATTCCAGCCTGGGTTTCTAAAATACTTCTTTAGTTGTTAAATCATTATATTTCTCATCAACTGGAACCTTCAAGAAATTTTCCACAAGCATAAACCTGCCTGAAGACTAGAATTCATGGAAGAGCTATAAACAAAATGAAGCCCATGAAAACTAAGAAACTCTGAATAGAATCCTCTCCCCACTCTTCCAGGAGATTCCTGCCAAGGGTAGTGAATTTTCACTGGCATATACTCTCAAGCCTAATGTGATTTTTAAACAAAAGCACACAATTTTAAGGTGGCTACCTACACTTCAGTCCATGGCCAGGAACTAAACAACCTACTAGCCTACGGAGGGACTCAACCCAATGTCACGACCTAATTAGTCTTGTATGCTTTGCCTACACACTTCCCCTTGTCTCTCCATCAAGGGTCCATGTGAGGAAGCCTTAGACAGCACACTCTCCTAGTCACAAGGGAGGGAACATGAGGCAAGAAATCACTGAGCATGACCCAATGTATCCCCTACAAATGCATAGTAGGCCACTGCATATATATGGAGATACTCTCAGTTCCATCTACTATTTCTAAACTAAAAGCACTAAGTCAAGTAACTAATTTTCTTTTGTGGAACTCAGTGACACCAACACTTCCTACCTTGTTCATGCTCTTTTAATTAGGTCCTATTTTAAGTGGGCCATCCTGCTGGCTATTTTCATCTGCCACCACCCTAGCTCCTTCTCTTCCCTGATAATTTCATCACCCTGCTCCCTTACCAGCTGTCTTCTGAGTTTACAGTTTTAGAAGCAGAAGATCAAAGGACAGGAAGAGTGAGAGGTTTCGGTATTTCTTCCCAGTTCCCTCCAAGCCTCAATACTGCAGACGTAGCTGCGTCCCTCTACAATTGCAACTTCAGCTCTCACTGGGCTCTGGTAATTGCATTTCCTCCCCTTGCCCTACAATCCAATGGATGGGAATGGCTTCTCACTGTTATTAGTCTCAGCATACTTCAAGATCCCTTTTTCACTCCCTTAACCCCTTAACAGAACAGGTGGTTCTGTTACTATTGAAACCCTGGTCGTGCCATGTTTTGTAGTGCAATGTATTTTTAAAATCCATAAAAGTTTGAATCACTTCTGTCAAAAGATGATTACATAATTTGTAATGAAATACAAATAGCCAGAAAAGGAAGAATGAGAATCAATTAAAATAACAACAACATGAACCAAAAATGGTATCATTCTGCTAAATTTGATTAGAAATAAAGAATCTAGAAAGTTAAGAGGGAAGTGATGAAAAGTGGATGGCGCAATACTAGTGAATATTTTTGCCAGTGTGACTTTGGTCAAAAAATGGAATAGAGGAAGACACATCTGAGCATTAGACTGGAGTCCGTGACCAGAGTCTGATGAAATGAAATACATAGAGAAAGTAGAGAAAGGCAAGATATATGTCAAAGAAAGAGGAAGACCATCCTCAAAAGACTGGATGTAACTGCAAAAGATTAAAAAGTAATAATAATAAAAGAACCATTTCAGGATAAGAAATTACGTCTTGGGAATTCTCTCGCCAGAAGTGAACATGAGGATATCAAGACTTGATTCATGAGTAAGGCCAAAAAGATGATCTAATCAGGGGAAAGACTTCTGGCATTTTTCTAGTAAATTTTAATATTTTAAGAGTACATCATCACAAGGAGCGAACTTAACCTTATATAACTCTATGTAGTGAAGGCAGCTTGCAATCACTGACCTGCGTACACAGTGCTCCTATATAACCCAGCACCAAACAGACACACAAAGTTGCCTTACGTTTCTGACTAGAGGGTCTAAAACTTTCTGGGTCCTCAAGAATGGGCCAGAGTGATGTCAGCTGAGTAAGACATCCCCCACTCGTATTCCCCCTTCAACAGTAACAATTTGGCATCCTCCATGGACAAAAGTGCCTTTGTGGGAGCTGTGGGATCCAGCATCATACACCAAGGGACCCAGAAGGAGTCTAGCCCACCCATGCACAGGGTAAGAAGCATACAGACCTCAGTCCTGGCTGTGGACCCTGAGGTGGCCCGTGAACTGGCTCCAGCCCCTCTTGGACGCAGTCTGGGAGCCCCTGGAGAACAATGACTTAGACAGTCACCCATGAATGACAGAGCCTTTGTGGAAGTCCAGGAGTCCAACAGAGAAGCTCCAAACACACCATTTGAGCAAAAAAGTCCAACTTTAGACACATTGGCGAGTGTAAGAGGAACAGTTTCCCTTTACCCACCTCATCCCTCCCCCAAGGCAGCACAGCTCAGGGCCAAGAGAAACCCTCTCTGTACATGATTTCTGCACAGCGGAAAGTGAGAACATGTGAGTGAGTCTCTGGCCTCCCCAGCTGTGCAGGACCTTGCTAAAGAGGTCTGTTTCTCTCTCACTCTATCCAGAGAACTGAGTTGTAAGCTGCACGACCAGGGGATGGGAAGTGGCTGAAAGAACAGCGGCCAGGACTCTGAACATATCACAGGGATGCAGATCCTACTAACTACATGACTGACTCCACCAGGAGGCCTGACCACAAGCTGTCGAGACACCTTGCCCATGGATCCCCCTCAACTGGCCCATGGGCACCTCACCCCCACAGGCACCTCCTCCACCCCACGGCCAGCTCCTCGTGTGCACTCCCCATGGCACAGAGAGCGAACTTCGGCAGACAGCTAGCGAGCAGGCCCAAAAAGCCAGCCTGAATCTATCTATAGGCCAAGGAGAGACGACAAAGTTAAGCTTTTGCACTTCCTTTAGGAAAGCTGTCAGTACTTAGCCTGGTGCACTGCAGGATCAAGAGAAGGCATACAGGGCTTCCCTGGTGGTGCAGTGGTTGAGAGTCCGCCTGCTGATGCAGGGGACACGGGTTCCTGCCCCCGTCCGTGAAGATCCCATATGCCGTGGAGCGGCTGGGCCCGTGAGCCATGGCCGCTGAGCCTCCGTGTCCAGAGCCTGTGCTCTGCAATGGGAGAGGCCACAACAGTGAGAGGCCCGCATACCGCAAAAAAAAAAAAAAAAGCATACAAGCTTAAGAATTCTGCCACAACAGGCAGCAAGAAGTGTGGAGAAGGTGTATCCATAGGAGGTCTGAGAAAAACAGAAAGAAAATATCCAAATGGCCAATAGCTACATGAAAAGATATTCAACATCACTATCATCAGGGAAATGCAAATCAAAACCACAGTGAAATATCACCTCACACCTGTTAGAATGGTTACTGTCAAAAAGACAAAAGTGCTGGCAATGGTGTGTGGAAAAAAATTTTTTCCTCATAAAATTAAAAATAGAACTACCATGTGATCCAGCAATACCCACTTCTGGGTATATGGCTAAAGGAAATTAAATCAGTGTGTCA